GACAAGTTCCCTTCGGCCGACGCTGGGCCGCCGCGCGCCAACGTGGGAAGCTCTGAGCGAGCTCACAAGCTGCTGAAGGGAGGCTCCTGTCACAGAGGCAGCCTCTAGGTTCTCAGCCTCGCTGGGGCTGCCAAAGGCCCTCCCTGCGGCAGGGGTGCTCGCCGCCGCCCCGCCGAGCCGCGCACCCCTCCCTACCTTGTACTCCAGGGACAGCACGGTCTCCGTCTTGGAGGCCCAGCTCCACTTGTGCACGATGTGGCCCTCGTGGTCGTTGGTGGTCCCGCCTTCCTCGTCCAAGACCAGCACGTACGGGCAGCTACGGGAGACACGGGGGTGAGCAGCTGCCGCCGAGCCCCGGGAGGAGGCCCGCGTCGCACAGGCTGCAGGCAGGAAGGTCCCTGAGACCCCGGCCCAGGCGGAAGGGACGGTGGGGTCCCCTAGGCAGCCCCGCTCTGCCCTTCTGCTGCGCTCCGAGGCCCCTTCCCGCCCGGCGATGCTGCAAGAGGAGTGCGCGGGGGTGGCGGAGGCTCGGGGCCGAGCCCGGGGGACACGTGGATCCGGAGCACACAGGTAACGGGCACCGAAAGAGGAGCAGGAGCGTCCACGACTTGAGGATGAGACGCTCTTCCCAGGAACGGTCCCTCACGGGAAGCCGGACAAGACGGCAAAGCCAGCGGGCAGGGGGTGTGTGCTCGCCCCGGGAGGCCCCAAGAAGTGGGGTCCACGCCTCTCCTTCACCCCTGCGGTATAAGACACGCGTCCCCGCTAGAAAGTTCTCCCGTCAATCTCGCTAGCAGTCGAGATCTCAGTGCTCCGGGGACAAAGTGGGGTGGGGCCCGTCCCCCTTCTCGCTGGCCGTGACGCGGGCCCGCCTCCGAGTCCCCCGTCCCCGCAGGTCCTGCCCTGGCCCGGACGCACGGCCTTGCCAGACCTCCGGACGCTGCCCGGTTCCTCCTTTGACCAGGAAGCCCCGGTCGCCACCCCGGTCCCTCCCGTCACCCCTAGAGACGCTTCCGGGAGCCCAGGGCCCCCGCCCCGCTCACCGCGTCTTCAGGCTGTACTGGACGCAGCCCTGGCCCCCGGCGTTGAACAGCGCCAGGAAGGAGACGCCGGGGCCGTCGTTGAAGAGGCAGGTGATGGTCCTCCCCGGGCAGCACGTGGGGATCTGGCACGCGGCCATGTTTCCCGACGGGTAGCTGGCGGGAGCGGTCAAGCGGAAGTAACGGAACCCCGGCGGGCTGCGTTCTCGGTGCCGCGTGGCGGCGCGTCTACACGCTAAAGCTCAGCACCCGGTGCGGCGTCCTGCACCTCAGACCCTCCCTGCACTCTGTCTACCTAACGACTAAGGACGGGACCCGGCCACACCCTGAGTGCTTCCTGTGTCTTCTCTCCGCCCCCTACAGCCACGCTCCGGTGGCCTTCCCCCGGGTCCGACGGGTGTCCTGGGACGTGGAACTCCCAGCGCTCAGGCCAGGAAGTCCCGGCCACACCGGGTGGAGGTGGCCGCTCTACGGATGCGGAATCCAAGGCTTAGGAGACGGTCTGGCCTGAGCCACGTCGCAGGCGGGTTCCACACCTGCGGTCAGCGTATGGCTAACGCTGGCAGGCTGCCCCCACTCGCGGTCAGTCCGGGAGGGCGGGTCACCTCTGCTTGTTCGTCTCCTACTAAGCAGCCCCCAAGAAGAATTGTTCCTGACTACGGTGGCCGAGTGTTGGCAGCCACTGTCCTGCGTGCCGGGGTTTCAGAACCAGCGCCAGACGGAAGAATTTCAGCGGTTGCCACTGGGACCTACCCTCCCAAACCTTTCCAGGAGCCGACACAGAGAAACTGTAAAACGTAACCTAATGGAAGTTCGGAAGCTAACAGTACAATCACTGAAATGAAAAATTTACTAGACAGGCTCACCAGCAGATTAGACCAGTAGAAGGAAGAATCAGTGTAGCTGAAGACAGATCAGTGAAAATTATTCAGGC